ATAATTAAGTTCATTTTCATTAAGTACTTTTTGAGTTATGAAGCTCGAAAGTTACAGTACAGTCAGCATTAGCATTACGCAAATTGTCCGATCGACGGTTAAAACCTCTTGAATGTTGTTCAGGATCATATCCTGAATTATAGTGTTTCGGAAAGCTCTCGAGGTAAGCTACAAGAATATGTAATAAAAAATGGGGAGTTCCATTTAAAAAATTCAAAGTGGCCTTGCTCTCACTTTGACACCGCCCAAGATTAAATAAATGGTACCATCTTATGCTCCCCTCAAAGTCATAAAACTTTTGTCTGAACATATTAATCATTTGACACACACTTTCAGAGATAATAGCTTGTAATACTTTACATGAGCCACCCGGTATATTATTTATTCTAACTTTTTAAAGAGAGATCGCAATTCAATCTAACAATAAATTGGCAGTTTGTAAAACTGTAAAAATATATTTAAGAATTTATATGAAAGTAGTATTATTATTAGGAAACATTAAAACATATTATAACATATAATTAAAATATATATATTATATTTTATATATGTATGTATATATATGTATATATAGATTTTGTTTTTAAAGATAGGAATCCATGTCGTTATAATAAAATACCTTCTTGTCTCGAAATTTGTAAGGCCTCTCCTCACTTTTCTCAGGAAACATATTATTCAGTCTATCTTCTCTCTCCATTGATATGTTATGGTAAGAACTTATTGTTAATATATCTAATCTACGATCCTCCAGAGATTTTATTGCACATTCTCTATGATAGTAGATGTCATCTGTACACATTACACTCCTTTTTTCCATTCTCACATCAATTTTTCTCAAATAATTTTGTAAATCTGTGTACGAGAATGGATAGGTAAAAGCAAAATAAGTAATGGCTTTTGAATTTTCTGGAGTATAATAGAGGAACGACAAAGTAAAGTCGTTTCCTTTTTGATCAACCTGCAATGTTAAATAATATATTTGTCACACATATTATTATATTATATTATTATATTAATTATTACACATGTTTATGATTTTGCTATATTCTTAGATACACATTCGTGTGTGTGTGTGTGTGTGCGTGCGCGTGTGCACGCGCACACATATAAAACTATGCTACAATTACAGTATATGTAGGTCTCTCGCGAATCCGCTCCCAGTGCAAATGTCCTGGTACAATTTTAAAGACTGGACACATCCCTTGGCTGAACATCTTGACTTGCTTGTTCAAATTGACTATATTAAATTTGACTGAGACGCTCGGACGACTTGACTTGACACCAAAATAAAACCACGTCCTATTGTTATTTTGGAATTGTGTATCGTGACAATCATGCTTTGTCCATAAGTTGAATTCGTAATCCAACATGTCTTTGGAATTTAAACTGTTGGTTATTTTGCCTTCAATCTCGTAGACATCTAAAAATAGTAAAACTTATTGTATTATTACGTAAGAAGTACGTTAGCCATCGTATATCTCATTGCAATATGTTTAGATTCTCGCAAGAGAAGTAACATCAGTCATTTAATCAATGAGTATAAGAAAAATTCTCCTGTAACTTCAATAACATTTATGTATATATAGACATGTACAAGATAACCAAGAAGAGATAAACAAATATATATTTTACTACTTATTTTACTAAAGAAATTAACATTACTCGCTAATAATATACATTCTATCCTTACTGAATAATCACGCAATGCTTGAATAGTAATCAATGGAATGTTATATTATTCTTTTTAGGGATCATACAACCGGATATCAGGCTAGTATCAGATTTCTAGAAATATATATATATATATGTGGCTGAAATTTTATATTAAAATGACATGCATTATGGTGTGAATACCCTGAAAACTTCTATTATCTGTTATATTTTTTTAAATATAGTACCAAATATCTGGCAAATATCCAGTACCTAGCCAGATATCAGTGATAATAAAAGTTTTCTGGATATTTAGATAATGATGCAAGTCATTTCAATATAAAATTTCAGTCGTATATATTGCTGGAAACCAGATATTAGCTAGATATCCAGTTGTATCCTTAATTCTTTTAGTAGAGTATCTTTCAATTACATATATATTATATAAAAATAATATTGGAAAAAATTTTCTTTCCATTTTATTTTTCAAAATTGCCATCTGTTCTCAAAACATCAACATCTTTCCTCCTTACCCTGATTCTACAATATTTAATGAGTATCAGTATCGTTATACTATATGCAGATATACATGGTAAAAAAAACTGTGTAACAATAATACAATGATATTGAATTGACATTAAAAATTTCAGAATCAGGATATTGGTCAGTTTCCAAATTTCCAAGTTACATAAATTTTCTCTTGCAATATTTTTTAAACAATCAAAAGATGTTCTGTTAAAAGAATAAAATAATATTGCACTGTAGCAGTTGCTACATTATTCAAGCATGAGCTTATTCCAACAAAAATAGAATCTATATTAAAGACAAACCGTGGGCCAACTTCTTATTAATAAAACAAATAAATAGTACATTTTTCAGATGTTGATATTATTTTGCCTATTCGTCGTAGATCCATAGAAAGCGTTCCTACATCAGGAGACAACTGTGTTACCTTTCTCGAAGTTTTCCGGAATCCTCACTGGTTCCACTTTGGCCAGATTTGCTGAGTCAAAGTTGTTGAAAAACACAAAGCCACCGCAAGTAATGTTTTCAGCCGTGCTCGCCATGATGCATCAGAGAGTTACGTCTACTGTCGAATTGAAAGACGAGACTGGACGAGACACAGATGACAACGAATTGCTGGTTCATGTGATATTGTTGTACATCCGCCTGTGGAAACGCAAAGCGCGATATAATTGCTGCTCGACCTTTTTAGTTTTTTTCAGATACAATTGCGCTCGTTCGGCGACAGCATCTTGCTCGTTCTTGCTGAGCGAATCGGTGAGATCTGATCCGATGATTTCCTTAAGCAATCATATGATCTCTATTTATGCCGTCGGCCGTACACGTACGGCCACGAGTGTCATGCGCGAGAGGCTACAATTCTCAAGCTGTATATATGTATAAATAATCAAATCGCGGCTCATCCTCAGGCGATATCGAGAATATAATTTCCTCTTCTTTAATAGATTTTCGATCACCCTGTCACGAACGAATATGAATAAAGTTTTTAAGTCCACTGTACTAACTTCTTCTTCTTCTTACTACGTCGACACCAGTGGTTGCCAGTGGTGCCAGATTCTGGCTTGCGCTACCACTTGGTAATGCTGGATTCACACTGCATCCGA